CGTATATATGTAAAAATTTAAATCTTAATATTATATATTATTTGAATATATTAAGATTGCATCATGATCTACAAGATCTTAGAATTAGATGTATAGATTGCATACATAATCAATTATAACTTCGTTAAATGTATTGCGATATTGCATCAACAAATTGATCATTTTTGTTACTTTCATGAGATGTAGTAATGCCATCAAAAAAGGTAAGTAAGCATTTGGTGAATTGATTCGAAATTTGTATATAAGGTTTAATTGTGGACAATTGTCATTGTTTTTTACTTCATACAAATTAAAACACATAAAACGATAATAAAATAAAATAAAATAATACATAATGTAATCTTCAAGATCAATTATGTTATGTATGTTAGTTTAATTTATAAATTAATATTACGTTTACTTAATATTTCTAATAAGAAACATCTTAAATTGAAAAAATCCTAATTTAAAAATAAATATTAGCAAATTTATTGATATATTATTATCAATAGATATAAGATTATCAAAAATAAAAATTTTAGCGTTGCAAATCTACATTGTATTTTAATATAGTAACAGTTTTGTAATTTCACGTAATTGCAAGTCTGTAATAAATAAGCCAATGCACGTTATTGCTAACGGAACAAACAAGAAAGACATTTCCATGTCAGTAAAACAATTATAAATGTATTTCATCCAAATATTCAATAACAAAACATTAGCGACAATTGCAATCAAACGACACTATTGTAAATAATTTAAAGATTATAATATACTTGTATTTTATATTACATACTGCGTATTTTTTGTAAATAAAATGTACAAGAACGTAAATTGTCGCGTTGCAACGAATACGGGAGTTAAATAAGAGAAATTGGAATACAAACTAAAGTAATTTATTAATAAACATAAATCAAAATGTAATACAATGAATTATATAATAAGTTTATGAAATCAAAAATAATTGATATGATTAATTAAAATAAAATGTTTGAAAGAATAATATTCACACACAGTTTTATCATAATTGTACCATTCTTATTTAAATATCACTTATTAAGATCTTTAAGGATGACAGGATTACTCTCCCCACTAATAATCTTTACATAATAACCAATTACAAATACTTTTGTAATTTCTTACGACAGTAATATAATGATTTGTAGGACTATCGTGCTCCGATTTGTGAATTATAAAGTCACTAAGACAGTACGTATGACGCTTAAGATTCTTTGCATCTACAAGAATAAATTTTTAAAATTTTAATTGTCTTAGCCATTTCAATTTAATGTGACAAAAAAGAAATGGAAGACAAGAAAGATATTTCAATACAAAAAGAAATAATTAGACAATGACCAAAGTTCGATCAGAAAAGTTATCTGCTTACTGATTGCAACTTCCTTTGGTGCTCCCACAACATGTATGCTCAATTTTCTTAGTCTGTTTTGTGTGTGCTTTCTGAAAAATGTTTTCAGTTTTTTGGTATTTATGTTCTCTATTGCAAGCGCTTCCTTCTCACATCTGTCAAACTTGTATTGTCGCTTCGTGATCTCACTCCAGTTCCTGTTAACTCTGTTCTTCAGAATCTCGGTATCGTCATGATGCTTTGAAATTCTCAGTCCATCTTTGACATCATCTAATTTCTTTTCTGAGAACTGTTCCAACACGATTCGAAACGAATTCAGAAATTCCTCGATCCGTTGATCAACGTATTCGGTTGTGCATTTATCTGTCCGAGTATAAACAGTTATAGAATATCCTAATACACCGTTAATATTTCTAAAATCGCACGATACATAACTAAGCTTTTCTTGGGTTCGTAGATGATTCATTAACGATTCTTTCATTATCATCTAAAAGTACAACAGACGAACGTGATATCAAATAAAATCAATTATGGTATCGGAAATGTTATTCGCATTTTATTTACTATTAAAAGTAAATGTAAATAGAAGATTCCATGTGTTTAAATGTATAAAATAATGTTATAAAAATACTTACGATCATCAGCTCAATTAAAACCGATAATTCAATCGTAGCAGTACCGACTTGATAATAATTTGTTATTACCGAGTTTACATCAGTTTCGTTAATATTTTTTAACTTGAACTGAGATATGCCTAGAGGTATCTTATTGATTGGAACAGTATATATCTCATTATTCAAGTGGCCACAGTTAATTTTTTTGATAAATTCTTGTATAATATTGATCGTAAAGTCTTTCGTTACGTTGCCTTCTACGAGGCATTGGATGTACAGATTTTTGAAGGATGTTACAAAATCTTGAAAACTTTTAAAATCACAAATATATAGAGCATTATATTTGTGAACGTATGCACAGTTGCCGTGCTTTAGTATCCATAATTCCATATCTCTACGAAAATATAAGTTATATACAGCTATATACAGTTATATGTGTTATTAATAAAAAATAATAAGAAATGTAATAAATATTATTGATTTTATTAATTGTTATAATTAATATTCATCTAATTGCTCATTAATTGTTTTTTCCTAGTATTATAATTTTATAATTATTGCAATTATGCTTGGTAATAAAGAGTTCTTACTCATTGAACTTTTTCGGTTCTATAAATTTGTTGTAATATGCCTTACGTTGTTGCACTTTAATAATATTAAACAAATCCTCCGAAATAGGACCTAGATTCGCTATATAATTTGCAATAACCATTAACCTGGACTGCAATATAAATAAAATATTTATGTTTCTCCAAATTATATACCTATATATATATATACATATATATATATATATATACACCCAGTGGAAAATTTTTCTTAGAATTTTTATACGATTTGGAACATTTTTCAGAAATACTCAGAAATAGTCGTATAGTTTATATGTATTTTCAGAATTTTTCATAGATGTAAATTTTCAAATATTCTAAAATTTCTCATCCCATAATTTTAAAAAATGTTTTAACATTCTTTAGATTTTATAATATTTAATTAAAGAAATTAAACTTACAAAAAATCTTTATATGTATTAAAAATCTTACGACAATTAACATATATGGAAAATT